AAATATGATATGGATGGCTTTGGAGTTGAGCTGGAACATTTTTGTCTCTCATTCACTCCATAATCTTGGATGAGTGAGAGGCTTGAAGTATCCTTCTTCTACGACATTCCATGCTCCCATGTCACTTGCTTGAATGAAGTACATCATCTATTTTTCCAATAGGCATAATTAGCCCCATTGAAGAAAGGAGGCTTGTTGACGGGAATCGAATCGAGACCGGAGTCGAAGTTTGAAGTAAAGGCCATTGATGACTTTGATTATCGATGTAACTCTTCCCGAATCGACTCAAGAGGCGATTAAACCTTCAAATGATTTGCTCTGATACCAATTGTTGAGTTAATCGATTGACGAATATGGCCAAGAGGGGGTGAATTGGCAATTAAAATTTTGGTGGAAGCTTTTGCAGAAAATTGAAAGAAATTTGCACAACGATTTAGAGTGGTTCGACTCTCTCCCAAAGAGAACAATACAAATTTGCAAACTTACATGGAAATCCTCACAAGGTAGATTGTTTGCACAATTCTAGAACAAGAAAAGAACACTCCAAAATAATTACAAATGAGCACAAATGGTGTTCTTGAAAGCAAAATGAATATTGAAAGGAAAATTGGCTTGATTTGCACAAACTTGGTGTTTGATGTTTTCTCTCTTGTTTCTCTATAATTTCTTATTGATCAAAGGCTTCAAAACTTGCTTAAATACACCTTGAATCACTTCTGAACGTTGGGGATGATTAGTGAAGATAATATAGCCGTTTTAGTGTGAAATCAATTAATAAAACAGCTTGGAGCGTGGGGGGAATCGGTACCCCTCATAGGGAATCGGTTCCCTAAGTGTAAAATTCAAATATTTCGACCGTTGAATAGTGGGGGGAATCGGTACCCCCTGGGGGGAATCGGTTCTCTCCGAGCATACTGGAATTCTCGGAGCCAAACCATTCAGGGGGAATCGGTTCCCTCTGAGCAATCTGGAATTTTTGGCTTTGAGATGGTTCGAAATATTTTGTAAAATCGTTTTGAAATTATTTTAAGATTAAAACTTAATTTTACACTTGAGTAAGGATTAAAAATGACATTTGAAAGATTTGGAGTAATATTTTGATATTCGAATAATTATAACGAATATACTTAGAAATTTTTTGCATCAAAATGTTTTCAACATTGTTGGATTGATTCTTTCTTAGGTAGTATCAGTAAGGTAGCTAGAGTTTAGCTAACCCTTTTTTACGACTTTGACCTTTATTGCCTTACTAGATTGGTTTTGAGATTCTAGATAGGCGATGTGACTTTATTTGAGAAGCAAGAGGTCGAGGAGGAGGAAGAAGAAGAAGATGGAGTTAACGGGAGGTTAATTGTCATGTCAACAAAAAACTAACGGATGTAATAATAGGGACCTTACTGGAAAAGAACTACCTGTTCGATGACTGTATTTTAAGTTTCAGAAGCTGGGTGACCAAAATTCAAGCGTCCTAAAAGTTAGATGACTATTTATATACTTTACCTTTATTAATATTCTACACGTGATAGAATTTAGGGTAAACTATATGAATAACCACTCAACTATGGTCAAAAATCATTTTGATCACTGATGCTTCGATTTGGTCAATCAAACCACCTAACTATTGAAATACTTTAATCAAGTCACATGCCATTAACATTTGACGGAGGAGGTAAAATGGTAGTTAAAATATTTTTGTATGATTACATAATTGGTCCCTATTATTTATATATTCTTTCAATTTTATCCTAATTTTATTAAATTAAAATAAATTTAACCCTCAAATAAGGAGATAAAATGCCATAATTCGATTGGTGGATTTGAAAGCTGGTCACTTGGCTTTGGACAACAAATGATAAATATATTGTATATTAGTATGTAAATGTTTTATCCAAAATTATTAATATTTTATACATCTTAAATTTTAAACCATTAGAGATGTGGATTTGAACCCTAGTCACTTAGCTGGAATAGCTGGAGCCAAACCATTAAGCAAAGGCATTAAATTAGTATATTTTGGACAACATATGATATATATCTTGTATCTTAGTATGTAAGTGTTTTACCCAAAATTACTAATATTTTATATATCTTAAATTTTAAAAGTGTCTTTTATTTTTTGTTTTAACTTATTTAATATATTTTGTTTTTGTTTTAACTTATTAATATATATTTTGTTTTTATTTTATTATAAAAATATATATTTTATCATTATCATCACTTAAAAATATTTTTTTAAATACCTAAACTTAAAATATATTTAAACATTTTATTACTAATTTAATATAAAATATATAGTTTATTCTTATCTCCACTTAAAATTTTATTTTATTCTTATTTTAAATTAAAAATATATTTTATTCTTCATTTAAAAGTTAAGATAATAATAAAAATATATTTTTATATTAAAATAAAAAATATATTTAACAAGTTAAGAAAAAAATAAAATAGATTTTTAAAATTTAAATATATAAAATATTATTAATTTTGAGTAAAGTATTTACATAATAAGGTACAAGATATACATCATTGTTGTCCAAGGTAAACCAATTTGGATGCCTTGGCTGTAACTATTCCGACCAAGTGACCAAGGTTCAAATCCCCATCCCCACTGTTGTTGATGATTTATTTTCTTTCAATCAGATGGTGACACATATAAATTAAATATAAATTAATATAAATTTAGTCCACCAATCGAATGATAACAAGTGTCATGATGTGTCACCAATGACATGTGGCACCTCCTGATTCTCGAGGGTTAAATTTATTTTGATGTATTAAAATTAGGATCAAATTGAAAGAATATATGAATAACATGGACCAATTGTATAATTATACCAAAATGTTTTAATTGCCACATCACCTACTACGTTAAATGTTAATGAGGTGGCTTAACTGAAGCATTTAAATAGTTGGGTGATCTGATTGATCAAGTCGAAACATTAGTGGTCAAAATGATTTTTGGCCATAGTTGTATGGTCACCCAAGTAGTTTACCGTAAAATTTAATTTAAAATAAAATTAAAATATTTTTATTTTTTAAAATAATTAGACCCAATAATTTGATTAATTTATTACTTAAAATATTGTGTTAAATCTCAATATTAAATTAATAATTTTTAAAACATAAACATCAAACTAAAAATCACAATGAAATAAATAAATTGAAATAAGAATCTTTTATTTTTTAACTAATTAAGTTTAAGATGATATTTTTACTATTTACATTCCCATAACACTTAGGGTGCGTTTGGTTCACAGAATGTAGAATTATCTTTGAGAATAAGATTACTGTAATGTAACATTACTCTGGCAATGTTGTATTACCCTGTTTGGTTTGTTTAATAAGAATGTATGATTACAGTGTTTGATAGGAGGAATATAAGATTTTGATGTCAGGGGTGTAAGCAATCAATGTCGAAAGGTTATATCTTTAAACATATATTGTCTTGTACTTACCCCAGATTAATAAAAAAAAGTTTAAAGGAAAAAATTCATTTAACATATAATTAATATAATTAGTATATCAAACTTATATTTTTTTAAAAAATTCATAAGAATCATATTTATTTATATAAAATATAATATAAGATAAAAAATAATATGGTAATCTCGAGTTGATAATTTTATTATTTTTTAATGTATAAGATCTATTTTTTAATAACTCAAAATTAAATATTGTTTCAAATAATTACATATTTTACGATAATAAAATTTTCACCTCATAAAATTAATGATTAATATATTAAAATTTTAAATTATTTTAACTAATCAAATTTATTAATATTTTACTAAATTGAACTCTTTGTATATTATTATTATTATTATTATTATTATTATTAAGTTTATAATTTTGAGTAAAGCATAAAGAACAAGAATTCAGAATGATCCATATGGAAAAAAATATTATTTCATATGTATTTGTGTCCAAAGTAGTGGGAATTATTCATTATCTAACAATTTGGAGGTGATGACATTCCCACCATTTTAAAAAAAATGCTACTATTAGTACTAATGGTAATAAGTTATTATTTGTAATAATCATTTCCACTAAACAAATATGAGAATATAATTTCGGAAAAAATATTCCCCTTGAGAATGATCTTTTCCGCAAACCAAATATCTAATTGTTGTTTATCCTCTTAAATATATTAGGAAAAAGCTCTTGAGGATGTTATTATTTAATATATATCAACATATTTAAGTATTTACTATATATCCTCTTAAATTAATATTATGGTCAATATATTTCATCCTTTTTATGTTTAAGGGTATATTTGTTTTACTGAAAATAAATTCCGAAAAATAAATTCTTGAAAATAAATACTGAAAAATAAATTACATTTTTTTGAAAATATTTTTCGTTATTTGGATGATGTAGTGCAAAATGTTTTCCACTGTTTGGTAAATTTTTTGAAAACAATTTTGAGTATCTGTTTTCCATTAACAAACATGCATATTTTATGAATTATTCTTGTGTTTTTCTATTTTTTAATTTTATTATTAGAAATTTATATTTTAGCTTATAATTAATGTTATAAGTTGTTTCAACTGATATAATTAATATTGATAATTTATTAAAAACACATTGATGGCATCAATGACCTCTTCATTATATACACCAAAGCCAAATTCTTGAACCACCTGCAACAATTCTAAAACCATAGAAAATGTACATAGCAGGTTGAGTATCCATAACAAGCTCTACTGATTGAGCATGTTTGTCATATTTTGTCCAATTCATTTTAAAAAATAATGACATTCCACATCACTAGAGGATACATCACAGAAAGAACTCACACCCTAATAAAAAAATACGAGTCTAATGTAAATATGAGCACCTCAAATTCAATAAAAAAACTACCTTACCATATTTCATATGAAGTTGCCGCAATTGCTTTTGATAGTAAAATTCATAAATAAGACCACCAACCTTCTTGTTGCACAAAAACATAGCTCATAACATAAACACTAGAAGAAGATGCAACTTATGTTGTACATTTGTTCCAAGGAAGAATAAAGCATTCATTTTCTTTGCATTAACGTTCAATGACAACATCATCAACTCAATATAGGGAACATCAAACAAACAATGTGTGTTGGAACCAAATGCTCACTCTGATAAAGCATCAATCTTTTAGTAATTCCAGCAGGTCATGAGGAGTCTTTAGTTTAACCCCTCGAATTCTACGATCATGCTACTAGTGTTCTACTGAGTAATTGATTTTACGGTCTTCGTTTTCTCCACCATAGGCAAAAAACATCATCAACTCGAATTCTTCGATTCCTGATCATCATCCTACAAAATGTTTCGGGCACTGTAATATTGAATCATTAAAATTGACAGGTTCAATTGGAAATTGATAGTTTTACAATTCACGCTATAAAGAAAACCAACCTACTAAATCTATGTGCCCATGAAGAACTATGACAAAGTCAAAACACCACAAGATTTTCATTGTTTTTATACCATTATAACCATCTTTCATAGAAACGGTATCAAGTTTTAATCCTCTCATGGTTTAAACACAACCACTTCAGTTTCTATATAAAATTTTTCAAGCATTCGAACGTATAAAATAAATCAATATGCTGAAGTGTTTTGTTAGATAAAAAGTATGCTAGTTTATTTGAATTCCTGCTCACACTAAGGTGTACATTAAAAGATTTTCACTATTTATAAATTTTACTCGTTGAGTGAAATATGGTGGTGAAAAAAAATTAGGTACTGTTATTCTACATTTGTTAAATATTGTGTTTCACATCTATTACTAAATGCTTTTAGGTTGATTAGTCAACATAAAACCTAAATGACCATTCAGATGCTTCAGAACTTCATAAAAGACATTGTCATAAAAATTCATTATACAAATTCATCATGTACTAAGGTTTTAAAAGGATGAGATTCAAATAAAGTCTTTTTTTCATGTTTAAAACAACTCTTCGTGAGATAGAATTGTCAAAAAATCAGTAACTAAGACTGAATGCAAAGTGTAAATAGAACATTAGAAACTTCAAAGTGTACATTAAGATTTCCTCAAACCTAGATTAAAGAACAAAAAGTATTTAAATTCGACTGCTACTTACGGGATGATAGGGAGAGTTTTCAGATAGAACTCAATCTTGTATTTTGGTTTACAACCACTCAGAAAGAATAGAAAATATAGCATATGACTCAATTGCGAAAGCTTTTGCTAACCGATGGAGGAGGTGCTAAAGACATCGACGAAGAGGGTATTATGAGATTGACCAGGTGAAGAAAGGGTTAATAGGCTGTGAAACGAGAGGGATAGAAGGCTCTGAAACAAGAGGGGTGAGACGCTGGACGGAAGAATCGATTTGAGATTAAAACATGGAGGCATAAATCTGAAATTAAAAGGGGATTTTGTTACCTGAGAAGATGAACGTTGGCCTCAAAAAATGTCGCCGGTGAGAAGTCGGTGATGGTATTTGATCGGATGATTTCCGTAAATTGTTTCCCCCAAACAAACATACCCTAATATGCTAACCATAACGCGACAATACCAAGTGTGGTTTACGTCCTCTTAAGCTGCCCACTTTAAGTTTAGCGGGGGAAGTCGTAGCGAAAAGAGCAAGGCATGAACGGAAGGTGGATGAGAGGATGGCGAGGATTTCAAGGTTGATGGTAGGGATGACAGACGGTATAATTTCATATATTTTGTATCGTACTCGTACAATTGAGGTAGGGATGTGTGTAAATTTAGTAAGTAATAGACGAATATGGATGTAAAAGTCATACACGATGTTGGTAGGTGATGATTTGAGACCTTATTTATTCTGTATCCGGTCGTCCTACATCTACCCGTCCACTAACTACATATATAAATTTTAAACCATTATGAATTTAGTTAAAATTTTAGAGACTATTATGTAAATCCTAATATTTTATTGGACATAATTTATAATTTAACCAAATATTAGGTATAAATATTTTTAGAATTGGAGATCAGCGTTTTTTAAATTAGCGGGTTCAAGGTTGATGGTAAGGATGACAGACGGTATAATTTCATATATTTTGTATCGTATTCGCACTAATTGGGGTAGGGATGTGTGTAAATTTAGTGGGTAGTAGACGAGTGTAGATATAAAAAGTCATACACGACGTTGGTATGTGATGGATTTAAGATCTTATCTGCCTTGTATCCGGTCGTCCTACATATGCCCGTCACTAACTACCTACCATATAAATTTTAAACCATTATGAATTTAGTTAAAATTTTAGAGACTATTACGTAAATCCTAAGATTTCATTGACATAATTTATAATTTAACCAAATGTTAGGTATAAACATTTTTAGAATTGAGATCAGCGTTTTTAAATTAGCGGTATGGGTAGATATATACGGGAATAGGATGGGTGGTAGTGTGGGGATAAATTTAAGAATGTATTTACCTAAGCGATTGTGAGTTTAAATATTTTACCCGTCCCGTCCGTTTTCATCCTTAGTTGATGGAAATGATGAAAATAGAGATGAATCGAAGGTACAGTTGAAACAGTGATTGACAATTTCATATTATTATATATTTTAATTTTTTCTTATTAATTTTATTCATAATTTGTTTTTACTCGTGTAAAATTTTATAAATTATCTTCTTGAACTTCTAGAATTTATCCCTTTTATAATATATTCCATCTGCCGACGATGCTCTATCCAACTTTATGTGGCAGGCAAGTCCTGAATGGGCTGCCGATTTAGATTTTGCTTTAACTTTTACTTGGCCAAAAATAGAAGCGTCAAAAAAGTATCAATGGAGGTGAATGATTCAATGTGTTTGTACTTGACTCTTTCAATGCTTTACTAAAGCTCATATTTACCTCGAACAAGACAATGGAAAAATGTGAAGAATTTTGCTTAAAATGTTAAAAACAAAGCCTAATCTTCAGAATATAAAAATGCCAGTGGCTGCCAATCAAAACAAAGCTTGTCGAATGTTGTATTCGTGTCTGACACACATTACCCGTATTACCCGTATTCGACACTCACACTCGACTCGAACAAATCACTCGACAATGAAATGGTTGGAATTATAGATACCAACATTCATTCTGCTGTCAAAAGATGCTCAAGCCGGCCAATTTTAAAACAATTTTAATCAATTCCATCTGTCATCGGCATAATAAAGTAAGACAACAAGGTAGATTCTGCCTGCAGATAGATTGTGGATGACTGTACATAAAGTCCGGTATATAAAACTCATCCAGGCTTCATCCATTAGAGCTGATGAAAAGTAAACAAAAATCAAAAGACAGGGTCTCATTTCTGCTGAAGGGAAGCATCGGTAATGGCTGCCAAAGATGGCATGTTTCAATACGCCGACCGCGTCGACATGCTGTTGATGTTCTTCGGAACTTTGGGTAGTATTGGAGATGGATTGCAGTACCCTCTTACAATGCTTGTTCTTAGCAAAGTGATTAATGATTATGGAGATCCCAATTTCAACTTGTCTAATGATACTGTAGATGAGGTATGTGCCACTAACTTAACATTGCAGCAAATACTTTAGTTTGTGACAATTACTATAAATTCTGCTCTGCAGTATGCAGTTAGACTGCTCTATGTTGCGATCATTGTCGGAGTTTCAGCCTTTGTTGGTAAGTTCAACTGTGATAACTTGTGTAGAACCTTTCCAAGAATCATTTGTTCCATTTGACTGAATGCTATTTTATGTACATACAGAAGGGGTTTGTTGGACACGAACGGCGGAGAGACAGACTTCCCGAATACGGACTAAATACTTGAAAGCAGTCCTCAGACAGGAAGTTGCCTTCTTTGACACTCAGGAAACCGGTGCATCGACAACGTTCCAAGTCGTGTCGACGATATCAGCTGATGCCAATGCAATCCAAGTTGCAATATGTGACAAGGTCTAGAGTCAATTAGTACACATCTTCCATGTAATCTTGTTTCATACAAAACTGATTCAATTGTTTCCAACATTGTTTCCCCATGTTCCCTTCATGTAGATCCCGAATTGTCTCATGTTTCTTTCGATGTTGTTCTTCTGCCTCGTTGTTTCCTTCATACTGTCGTGGAGACTTGCCTTAGCTGCGATCCCTTTGACACTGTTCTTCATAGTACCCGGACTGTTGTTCGGGAAAATGATGATGGATGTGATAATGAAGATGATTGAATCTTATGGTGTTGCTGGTGGGATTGCAGAGCAAGCAATTTCCTCCATAAGAACTGTATATTCTTATGTAGCTGAGAATCAAACAATTGAGAAGTTCAGCCAAGCACTTGAAACGACTTTGGAATTGGGAATAAAGCAAGGTTTTGCAAAGGGCTTGTTGATGGGAAGCATGGGAAGCATTTATCTAGGATGGGCTTTTCAGGCATGGGTAGGGACTTATTTGGTCACCGAGAAAGGTGAAAAAGGGGGTTCGATTTTTGTAGCTGGAATCAATGTCATAATGGGAGGATTGTAAGTAATATTCTTCATGATGATGTACTTTATTTCTTATATCCTGATTGAACTTGTGAACTCCTTATCATTTCAATTCGTCATTGCAGGAGTGTGTTAGGTGCATTACCGAATTTAACTGGCATCACTGAGGCAACCGTTGCTGCTACTAGGATTTTCGAGATGATTAACCGGACTCCTTCTATCGATGCAGATGATAGGAAAGGGAAGGCTTTGTCATATGTAAGAGGAGAGCTTGAATTTAAGGACATACATTTTGCCTATCCGTCAAGGCCTGATTCACCTGTCTTGCAAGGTTTGAATCTTAGAATTCCAGCCGGTAAGTCTGTCGGTCTCGTCGGAGGCAGTGGTTCGGGAAAGTCCACAACCATTGCTTTGCTTCAAAGGTTTTATGATCCTACAGAAGGTGAGGTTCTCTTGGATGGATACAAAATAAGTAGACTTCAGCTGAAATGGTTGAGATCTCAAATGGGACTTGTTAGTCAAGAGCCTGTACTCTTTGCAACATCCATAAAAGAAAACATATTGTTTGGGAAAGAAGGAGCATCGACGGAAGACGTCATAAACGCAGCTAAGGCGGCTAATGCGCATGACTTCATTGTCAAGTTAACGGAGGGATACGAAACTCATGTAAGCTAACTTCTAATCTCTCAACCTGAAAACTGTTTTTGAATTGTTATACCTGGTTATAACATTAAAACTGAGTGGATTTCAGGTTGGTCAGTTCGGGTTTCAGATGTCCGGTGGCCAGAAGCAGCGAATTGCCATAGCAAGGGCTTTGATCCGGGACCCTAAAATCTTGCTTCTCGATGAAGCTACAAGTGCATTGGATGCACAAGCTGAAAGGATAGTGCAGGAGGCGATTGATAAGGCATCGGTAGGGAGGACAACCATCATCATTGCTCATCGCTTATTGACAATCAGGAATTCAAATCTGATTGTGGTTCTTCAATCTGGTAGAGTAATTGAATCAGGGTCTCATGATGAACTAATGCAAACGAATGGCAGAGAAGGTGGAGAATACTACCAGATGGTACAGTTGCAGAAAATGGCATTGCAAAACGAATCTTCTGATGATTCAGACTACAAAACCGAAGGAAGAAAACACCACAGGTTGCAAGTTGCTCAAAGTCCGATGAGTTATAGATCGAGTGTTCCGAGCACTCCAGCATTGAGCCCTTTCAGCCCTGGTCTATCCGTGGGAACACCCTATTCCTACACCATCCAATATGATCCTGACGATGACACTGACGAAGAAGACTTCAACCAAGTAGCTCATCCTACTCCGTCGCAATGGCGTTTGTTGAAAATGAATGCGCCGGAATGGGGAAGAGCCTTGATTGGAAGTGTGGCTGCAATTGGCTCAGGAGCAGTTCAGCCTATAAATGCATACTGTGTCGGATTACTTATATCGATTTACTTCCGCACGGACAAATCCGAAATCAAGTTGAGATCCAGAACTTTGTCCTTCGTTTTCCTAGGCATAGCTGCTCTTAATTTCACATCAAGTCTCCTCCAACACTACAATTTTGCTGTAATGGGAGAGAAGTTAACGAAAAGGGTACGGGAGAAGTTCCTCGAGAAGTTGATGACTTTTGAGATCAGTTGGTTTGATGAAGAGGAGAACACAAGTGCAGCCATTTGCACAAGATTGGCTACCGAGGCCAACATGGTTCGTTCCCTTGTTGGGGACCGAATGTCATTGCTGGTTCAAGCCATTTTCGGGTCCATTTTCGCTTATGTACTAGCACTTATACTTAGCTGGAGATTATCGATGGTGATGATCGCAGTTCAACCATTAGTCGTCGGAAGCTTTTATGCAAGGAGCATCTTGATGAAGAGCATGTCGGGAAAGGCTCAAAAAGCACAGAAGGAAGGAAGCCAACTAGCAAGTGAAGCAGTGGTGAACCATAGAACTATCACTGCCTTTTCATCTCAGAAAAGAATAGTGGGGCTTTTCAAGGAAACATTAGAAGGTCCGAGAAAGGAAAGTGTTCGGCATTCATGGCTTTCCGGTTTAGGTCTCTTTAGCTCTCAGTTTTTCAACACAGCCTCTACAGCATTAGCTTACTGGTATGGTGGGAGACTATTGACACAAGGATCAATATCATCAGAGCATCTCTTTCAAGCATTCTTGGTGTTGCTATTTACGGCTTATGTCATTGCAGAAGCCGGAACTATGACCAATGATTTATCAAAAGGAAACAGTGCGGTCCGATCAGTTTTTGCGATCCTCGATAGGAGAAGTGAGATCGATCCTGTTTATACATGGGGTCTAGAGATTAAAAAGTCAATTAAGGGACGAATAGAACTGAAAAATGTGTTCTTTGCATACCCAACCAGACCTGACCAAATGATCTTTAAGGGTCTAAACCTTAGAATTGAAGCAGGGAGGACAGTGGCACTGGTGGGACAAAGTGGTTCCGGGAAATCAACCGTTATCGGACTTATCGAGAGATTTTACGATCCGAAAAAGGGATCGGTTTTCATCGATGCACAGGACATAAAGAACTATAATTTGAGAATGCTGCGAACGCATATTGCACTTGTCAGTCAAGAGCCAACCCTGTTTGCAGGAACGATCCGTGAAAACATCGCCTATGGGAAAACAAATGTTAAAGAATCTGAGATTCGAAAAGCTGCGAAACTCGCCAATGCCCATGAATTCATAAGGTATACATGTCAACTGCATGGTGCATACTTTTGTTAGTTCGTTTTGGAGTTTCAACAGTCAATGAAAACACCATTTTTGTGTTGTGATTTGCAGCGGTATGAAGGATGGGTACGACACGAATTGTGGAGAAAGAGGCGTTCAGCTATCAGGTGGTCAAAAGCAACGGATCGCACTTGCACGAGCCATACTGAAGAACCCTTCGATTCTCCTACTGGATGAGGCCACCAGTGCACTCGACAGCGTATCGGAGAATTTGGTTCAAGAAGCACTTGAGAAGATGATGGTCAACAGAACATGCGTGGTCGTCGCTCACCGGCTATCGACCATTCAAAAAGCCAATTCCATCGCTGTTATAAAGAACGGTAAAGTTGTGGAACATGGTTCACATAATGAACTGGTTTCCTTGGGTCGCGGCGGAGCTTATTATTCACTCATAAAACTACAGGGTGGTGGTGGTGGCCGGAGTTCTCCATATAGGTAAAAATCATGATATTACAAGTCCAAGTCAAATAAACCAGTCATCAGTACACTAGTTTTGTATATGGGAACAAAGATTTCGGTGATTGATTTGCAGACATTTACGCCTTCAATCGTATATTGTAAGAATTTCCTTTAAATTGTTATTTTAACGAGAACTGATTCAAAGTCGAATAAAGAAGCTCAGAAAGCAAAAGCTACTCTCTCATCTCTAAGCAATTCAATACAAATTAAAGAATCACACATTGCTAATGCTGTCAATTATATTACTAATATTACAATAAATGTCATATATGAGTCTGTTTTTAATTTCTTTTATGAATTTTAAACACAATAAATTAATTTATGTTTATCTAGTATATTATTGTACGATTTATAAATAGATTTTATTAGGCCTGTAAAAGAACTCAATGAATACTAAACGGGGTATGTTCATGTTTATGTTCGATCATTAAGAAATTTAACTTGTTCGTGTTCGTTTATATTTGTTCGTTTAAATGATAAACAAACACAAATGAACGAATGTAAACGAACACAAACGAACGAATATAAACGAACATAAACAAACTAACGTAAAATTAATTGAGTTTATATTTGATAAGAGTTTTTTATTTTCAAATAATTTTAGGATTTATATTTTTTAATTGATTTGAGTACTTTTTATTTGGGTTTAAAATTAATTGAGTTTAAAAATATTAATGGATTTAAGTTTAAAGTTTATTAAATCTTTATATTTTCAAACGGTATGGTGACTATAAACGAACGAACATAAATGAACGAATATAAACGAACGTATTATCGAATGTTGATGAACGTAAATGAACGAACGAGACTTTTATTCGTATTTATTCATTTAATTATATCAATATAAAATCTTGTTATTTTTGTTCGTTTAATAAATAAACGAACTTTCAGTCGAACTGTTGATGAACGTTTGTTGAATTTTTTATTCGTTTACAGGCCTAGATTTTAAAGCGATATTGGCTTTGTAAATCTCGTCTCAAATTCAAGAACAGCGTGTTTAATCGATATATTCTAGCCCTTTGCAAAAAAAGTTTCTTTCAAGGTAATTAAAGTTGTTTATTATTTATATTATTTCAGTTTTCGTTCTTGTATTCGATTCTAGTAGATTTAGTTCTTAATTAGTTTATTTCTTAAAATTTTCCCAAGATATTTTTTGAATTAAGGTCGGGGGTTTTGCTCTCTTATTGATTTTAGGGTTTCCTCCTAATTCAATCGCGATTCTTCTGTTTCTGCCTTTGATTTTGATTATATTGGATTGGACTATTTCTTGTATCTCCTGTGTAAATGTTCCATGAACCTTATGAATCAAAGTTAGGAACTTCCCCTTTTCAATTTTAGGTTTTCTTTATATTCAATTGCAGAACAGAAACCTATCTCCAATATATTTGAACTGGCCTGTAGATTTTGTTTATCGTTTTAAAATTGCAATCTTTAATTTACTTTCTTCAATTAAATTGATGGCTTGATGTTGCTATTTAAAAAATCTAGGTCAAATTGGGGTTTACCAATCATAACAGGATGAATAGTATTAGCTAGTGCTGGAATCGTGATTTGTTAGGACCCTCTTCATAGGATTTTGTATATCAATTTAGAAAAAATCTATTAAAAATTTGCTTTGTTTGGTTTGGATTTGGCTATATATATATATACACATGCACATCTGTTATTTTCTTTTAGTTTATTTAAACTTATTTATGTTTTATTTTGATTCAATATAGATGCAAATCTTCGTTAAAATCCTCACTGATAAGACCATCACCCTTGAGGTGGAAAATTTGGATACCATCGACTATGCAAAGGTCAAGATTCAAGACAAAGAAGGAATCCCACCAGACCAACAGAGGTTGATCTTTGCTGGTAAACAGTTGGAGGATGGCCGTACTCTGGCTGACTATAACATCCAAAAGGAATCCACACTCCACTTGGTCCTTCGATTAAGAGGTGGAATGTAAATTTTTGTTAAGACCCTCATAGGAAAGACCATCACATTGGAGGTGGAGAGTTCTGATACTATCGACAATGTGAAGGCCAAGATTCAAGACAAGGAATCCCCCAGACCAGCAGAGATTGATCTTTGCTGGTAAGCAACTCGAGGATGGTCGTACTCTTGCTGACTATAACATCAAGCAGGAGTCCACACTCCACTTGGTCCTTCGATTGAGAGGTGGAATGGAGATTTTTGTAAAGACCCTGAGCAGGAAGTCCATCACCCTGGAAGTGGAGAGTTCAGATACTATTGACATTGTCAAGGCTGAGATTCAGGACAAGGAGGGTATCCCCCAGACCAGCAGAGGTTAATCTTTGCTGGTAAGAAACTCGAGGATGGCTGCACATTGGCTGATTACAACATCCAAAAGGAGTCCACCCTCCACTTAGTGCTTCACCTTCGTGGTGGGATGCAGATTTTTGTGAAAACCCTGACCGGAAAGACCATAACCCTGGAAGTCGAGAGCTCAGACACAATTGATAATGTTAAGGCTAAGATCCAGATAAGGAGGGAATCCTGCCAGACTAACAGAGGTTGATCTTTGCTGGGAAACAACTTGAAGATGGGAGGACTCTTGCAAACTACAATATCCAGAAGGAATCAACTTTGCGCCTTGTCCTTCGCCTCCGTGGTGGCTTTTAAGTATGAAATTATGAAGTGGAATCCAACGTCAGTCCAGTTAATGTTTGGTATCTTCAGTGGTTTATGTTGATGGTTTCTATGCTTGTGTGAGCTTACTACTATGCCGTTGCAGGTTTGAAGTAAAAATAAATTTCTGGCTTAATGTCCAAATAAGTGCTCATACTATGTCTTTTTTGCCAAATTAGTGCTTACGGTTTTTTTTGACCCATCTGGGTATTAAACGTTACAAACATTACCCTTTTAGGTTCTTAGGTCGTCAACACCGTTAGTTTTTTCCATTAAGTGACACATGTCAACACTTGGTAATTTTGAATTTTTTTATAAAAAATATTAAAAATATTATTATGTTTATAAAAAATATTAACTTTTCTTATATTATTAAAAAAATCGTATGCACTTATTTGACACAAAAGAGATAATTTGGGCACTTATTTGGGAATTAAGCCTTTCTTAAAATAATTTTGATAGTTGTTGCTCAAGGTTTAAGATTTCCATTACGATGTTTTTGGATAAATTTGGTTTTCATAATTGTGCCTTCTAAGTTATTATTACTTAGAGTGGTTAAGTAGCATGCATCATTTTTCTAAATATAAAAAAGTAAACATTACAAGTAATGAGTTATGGTGTGCGAAGCCTAAAATAAGACTAATGAATGGCGTGATCAGTAAAAAAGGTTACAAGTTAAAAACGCTATTTATAATATTATAAATTGGAACTAGAAAAGTTATTGGTTAGAGTAATATAACAGTTGTATTAAAATATTATAGATGTTAAGAAAATAAGTTATAAACGGTAAATATTATGAATATTGTTAATATTTTAGGTTACACTTAAAATATGATAAGAGTTTTTAATTAATAAAATAGGTTGCAAACAAGAATGTTAACGTTAACATTCTACATCGACTATTATAATTTCTTAACCTTAACAGTATATGAGGTCAACTGTTATAATTTTTTAACCTTAATATTAAACTCATCTCTAAACCCCGAAACAATTTGAACAAGTAACTATAAAATGATTTCAACCCGAGTTTTAAACACGAATAACAAAACTCAAAGTGACGTGAAATTATTTATTTATTTGAAGACATAACAACTTCAACTTTATATGATTTGATATTAAAATTATTTAAATTCAAATTATCTAAATTCAAAATAATTCACCTAAAATGACAAAAATAAAATAAAATCAAGATTGTCTTAACCTAAATAAAAAAATCTAAACCTAAAATGATCTAAAAGTAACTTGAAACAACCAAAATATGAAATGGTTTAAAATTATAATAAATCAAATCTAAAGTAAATCAAGCAAATAACATAAAACTTTTAAAATTTGAATCAATATGACCTAACTAGATCCGATATACCCCATTTAATAAGTCTAATTACGAAAAATGTCGGTAATGAAACACTAGAATATCACACAACAATGTAAATGATGAGTATATGCTCTTTGTTTTACATAAAATAAATGCACTTGACTTGAGTACTAATAATACTCATGATTATCGACACTTAGAAAGAAATATCAATATTTATTCTTACCAATCAATACTTTTTAATGATTTAAATATTAATATTTAAAATCAGAAATCGATATTAGGAATAATATTTTGGGGGAGTGGATCATGTCTTGCATTCACTCACATAAAAGCTTTAGAAAACATTCATGCTTTCGAATTTAAAAAAAAATAAAAAAAATATTTTAACTTTTGAATTTAAAAGTATTGATACTTTTAGAAAAGTATCGATACTTTTAAATTTAAATGCTTCAATCTATTGGGAATCACACCTATTTACGAGATTTGATATTTTTTAAAGGTTGTAAATTATATGTCATGAGATCTTTGACAATAGTATACAGATGTTGAATTCTTGGGTATCTTCACTTAGATTATCTGCTTTGCCGTTTAAGCATTGCAGTTGAAGGATTTCAATGATCTGAACGAAATTGAAGCTTACAGTTAGAATACAGTTTCAATGAACCAGTCAAACATGACAATGAAATTTGAAAGCTCTTATATTTAGCTGGTTCATGTGTTCATCTTGAAAAGATTATATTCATTAAATTATAATTATAATTTTGATTATTTTAGAAAAATGTGGGTTGTAACGGTCACGTGTGTTTTTTTTTATTAATTAAATTAAGTTTGTTCATGTAAAGGCTTTAAAAAATAGTCATACTTTTGAATTTAAAAAAATAAAAAAATATTTTAACTTTTGAATTTAAAAGTATTGATAGTTTTGAAATATTATCCATACTTTTGAATTTTTTATAATAGAAAAAATAATATTTAAGATCAACTTGCTTTCTTAGTAAACCATGGCATTCTTGTGTACAACCTATTTTATTAATAAAAATATTAACATTCCATATCGCAACATATTTATTAGTGAACCATGACATTCTTGGGCGCACCTCATTTTATAAATAAAAATATTAACATTCCAAATTGTAACCGATTTCTTAGTGAATCATGACATTCTTGGGTGCAACTCATTTTATTTATAAAAATATTAACATTCCAGATCGTAACTTATTTCTTAGTGAATTATGATATTCCTGGGCGCAACCCATTTTATTTAAAAAAATATTAACATTCTAGATCGCAAACTATTTCTTAGTGAACAATAACATTCTTGGGGGCAACCCATTTTATTAAATAAAAATATTAACATTCCAGATCGCAACCCGTTTCTTATTGAACCATGACATTTTTAAGCGCATCCGTATTTCTTATATATATTCATAACATTTTTCAATTTTTAACTTTTTTTTATCATAAAAAAATCCAATGATCCACCAGCTTAAACTTTAATAACATTTTAAGCACAACATAAAATGTTAATAATATTCATAACATTTATTATTTATAAATTTCTTTTATCTTTATAACATTTTAGGTGTAACCTATTATGTTACTACATTGATAACTTTTTCAGTTCCGTTTTATAATATTTTGTGTTATGCTTTTAATTTGTAAGTTAGATTTCTCGGTTATACCATCTAAAATTATTTTAAAATAGTTATAACCCAATATATTATAAATAAGTTAACATTTTAGGTGCCGCTAAACCTATTTTGTTAAGGATCTTTTCATATTTTCGATTGTATTATTTTTTTAGTTTTATATTAGTCTGTCGTTCCTTATAATTCCTCAGTAACTCCTAGAAAAAAAACGTTTTAGTTTGTTAAGTATTATAATTATATTCTACACTTAACATTTGTTAGTATATTTAGCAAATTTACAATATCAATATTAATAATTTAAAACTTTAAACATTTAACTTTTTAAAAGTTAAATTAAACGATTACTCACTGAATTTTATTCTCTTAATTATAATGTTTTTCTCTTAATTAGATTGGGATTTTTTTCCTAATCCATATGAATTATGGGCCCATCTTCCAATCTCATCCCAATCTGAATCCATTCATGTCCTAACCTATGTAGTCCATTAACACAACAGCCGCCAAGTGTCGACTTTAAGATTTGTCCCATGCGTAAAAATGACATCGTCTAAACCAAGACCTCGAACCAAAAGAAAAAAGAAAATTCCACATCCGTTAGACAATCTTGCCCCTCAACTTCAATAAATTCCCCCTTTCCCCCACCGACAGTGTAACTCACGCTTTATTCCATGACAAGCAACGTTCCGAACTTTAATCATGAAAGGTTATCATGCGAGAACAAATTCTTCATAAAAAAATCTCGCAAGTACAAATTCTCACACCCTAAGTTGCGTGGGAATATTATATTAAAAACTCCATTAATTATTTTTTAACAGTAATTTATTTAGCAAATTTATTAAAAAAATACCCTAAAATTACACACATATAATCATATTGTATCTTATTCAACGTGAAAATATGTCTCGGTATCCACAAGACTTGAGGAACGTTCGACGTGGATGATCTTTTCAGATGACGTAATTTAATATTGGCATTTAATACGTCACGTTTTACGTAAAGCAAGATTTTTGAGAAAATGAACTGTCCTGAGAAATTTATCACGAGTGATATTCAAGGTACCTCGCGTTTTTCAAAACGCGATGTCTTTTAAAATTAACTTAATCATTTTATTTTTATTACATCGTATTTAATAAAATTACATAACACCTATATTTTATTTTGATTACATAATATTTGGTGTAATAACATTTTAAAAAAATAGATTTTATTGCAAATAGACACTAATAACGCCAATAATATTAAACATGTAGATTGTTATATAAATAGACACTAATAATATTGAACATAATAGTCAAGTACAACTTGACAAATCAAACTTGCTTTATGGTTCCAACAATAAGAAGCATAATAAGTATAT